AGCAGAAAGCTTTTAACTTGAATTAGTGTTCTTTTATTTTAGGTGTAACAACGAAAATGAGTGGTGCCAGATCCATGAAAATATTATTCGCAAGTCCAGCACCAAATATACAGCACCCAGCTCAAACTATGGTAAATATTTACTTGTACTTTTTTGTCATAATAACAGCCGAAGATTTCCTTTAGGAAACTGCTAATTATTTATAGCAGAGAAATTCAATGAGATGTGAGATTATGCATAGCTGAATTTCTCTACTTGTGATGATTTAAAAGTTTAGCTAAACTTCATTCACGTTCAGTTTACAGGTGAAAATCTGTATTGCGTCTGCCAATTTAACCAGGAATTAAAAAAAACCAAACCACCTGATATCTTTCCTTCTCCAATACAGCTGACAATAATATTAATTCAGCATGCTAAATTTCCTGTGTCGTTATATCTGTAGTGTTATTTTATCTCAAGAGAGGTCAGCAGTGGAGAGGGCTAGTGGCTGGCTATAGTATTAGCTTACTCGGTGAGTCTTCATTTATTGGCTGTTACAGTTACTGCGTATATCTGTGCTTGTGAAAACTGCTAGCCCACGGGGGGATATAACATAAGCAGCAATCAGCATTGGCAGAAGTCCTTTAAAAGTTGGGGTTTTTTTTGTGACACTGGCTTAAGTTACTGTGACCAGACTTGGCTGCACGGAAAGTGAAGAATTTAAATTTTATTCATCAGAATTTCCCTGAGTAAAACTGTCTTCCTTTTCATCCTGCATTCCCTTGAAAATTCCAGGTATAACACATACCTAATGCTTGCTCTCCTGAGGATACCATGCATCCTTGTCAACAGAAGCAAAGCCAGAGGTTAAATTTGTCTAACGTATTTGACTGACTGTTCAGAAAATTCTGACTGTCCAGAAAATAAGCAGTGTTTTCGTACCTACAAACTAATTATCCAGAAGACTCTCAGTGATAGTTTCAGTACTAAATGTTTCATTACATAGTTGAGGCGATAACTGTCTTGGCAGAGTTTTTGCCGCCTTTCAAGTCCATTTTTATTTTCCTAGTTGATGACAGATAAATATGGAAAGTAAATCTTGTCCTGTCTTTTTAGCTCATTTAATGATTTCCGTAGTTTGCTAATTCGGAGATCGCATTACTGTTCCATTCCAAATGAACCAGCCAATAGGATACCGTTCTGCTTCGTTACAGCTAGTTTTGCATTCATTGCCGAGTGCCCGATTCATCGGCATACTGATGTCCGAATACTGATAGCCTTAATTTCACTTGTTTGCATATTGAGATATTGTAGTGGAATATGCAGTTCACACTCCCATAGAAGTTATTAAGAGCAACAATGAGCAAATAGAACAGTTTTCAGGTTTGGAATTTTATTATATGCAAAGCTGGTCTCCTTCCCTGCTGTTCCTCCTGTTACAGTTAAGGTCATCCACCACTTATCATTAAAGCATTTTCCTGAATTGTTTCTAACTTTGAAAACTTGGACTGTTTGCATTTATTTCCAATGCCAGGTGTCTGCCTAAAACGTTTTTTTTTTCCCCCCAATTGTGAGCTTTTTTGAAGAGCAGAAAGAAAGGGAAATAGATAGCTTTGGCTTTTTAAAATAATTATTTCAAACATTTCATTAAGATCTAGTGCATCTCTGGAATAGGAGGTTGAAACTTGGCAGAGGCATTGTCCTGGTATTGCAGGCTGACGTGATTTAAGCGTAAGTAATACAATTTGGGCCTCTCAGAACCTGCTCGTACAGTGAGAAGATGCTCAAATCACAGGTGTGATTTTTCCCTGAAGAAAAGCTCTCCGGTTGTTTCTCTTCCCAGGTCTTGTGTAAAATTAGTCCCTCAGATCTGCTGCAGGGAATAGAAAAAAACCCTGGAAGGATAGACTGGGTAGAAGAGGAAGACTGGAGAGCAGATGCACAAAACCTCTTGGGGAGAGCAGGAAGCTAGGCAGAAGTTTTTTGGGGTGGAATATGTGGGACGGTATCACATAAGTAAAATATGTAATACCATGCTGGAAAATTACCTATTCTGTTACCTCTAGTGACTGATTTGTTAAGAACTGGAGGTGTTGGGTGTGGGGAGGTCTGAACTTCCAAATTTGCTCCAGTCCTTTATGCTGGAATTTTTTGAATTTATTTTCATTTGTTTATTTTTAATAGCAAAAGAGGATATAAAATGAACAAGTTTTGCTGTAAGTGGTAAAAACAGTCAAGACTGATTTCTAATGAACTTGTCTCCTGTGTTCTGTTAAACCTTCTGTGGCGCACACACACACACAGATGTACCCTCATACATGGTATTCAAAGGGTTTGAATTTTTTCCATGGTTATAAAGCCTCTGTTTTCCCTGCAGTGCTTTGCAGCGTTCTTCTGCCTACTTAGCTGGACAGTTGCAAGTCTATGTTTTGGCAGCTTTTGAGTACATACATGCTGATTGTCCAGCTGGCTGGTTGGCCTCCCTTTTCCTTCATTTTAAAGCTTTATGCTATTTTTTTTATCCCAACTCCCAGTATTCATAAAACTTACACAATCTTCATGTTATCTAGATATCTACTTATTTGCCAAATTTGGCTGAAGCCAAACAACAGGCTTGAAAATTATTTCGAGGGAAGAGAGCAGAAACTGGGTGGGAGGTACATGACATTACTGGTTTCATTCCCCTAGTAACTTGTCTAAAAAAAAATGGCAACTAAATATTGTTCACAAAGCCGATATAGTAAGCTTAGGAAATAGCAGAACGTTAGCTGGCTCATACAAGAACGTGTACAAGGCAGTGTTTGTTTTCATATGTGTTGTTCCAGCGAGTGAGCAGAGGGGATAGAAAGAACTATTGACTATCTTTCATTCATTGAATGAGATAAAGATTGTGAAAAATTACTATGTGGACATAATTCACATTGATATGTGAAGCTGATAACGTATGCGTAGCAGATGAGACTAAGCTTACATGGTTGAGCTTAATCCTGGCATTTTCTGGTATCTTAATGCTTGACTTTGTAACTTTACCAATACATTATCCTCACTTTAGGGGTGTAGTATGCTATAAATCAAAAGCAACTAGAGAAAGCATCTGGGCTGAGATTAACCATGTAATTATTCCTAGTCAAGCTATTCAGCTGATATACTGAACAAAGGGTTGCGTTGAAAGGGCTCGTTGCTGAGCCTTTCTTACACTTGTTTTCTGAAGTCAGTTTGACCAGTTGCTATTCTTGAAACATGTTGATGTACTGAAGGGATTGTCATTAAAATCAACGTTCTTGTATGAAGCAGTTAAAGAAACGAGTGGAACAGATACACTTTGAGAGATTTTTTTTTTAAATGGTATTTAGTGGGATTAAAGGCACTTCAGAGATGTTCTACGGCATTGTGTGATGTGGTCATTCAGATGGAGGTGGCATTGCTCATACATGTGTTGTAACCTGCTGTATGTGAGGAAAAGAAATAGTGCTAAGTAGTTCACTGTAACTTGTGACATCTCTGCGAAATTAAGTATTCTGATTATTAAAAATTGTGGGTTTAGATTATATTATGCTCTTAACTGATCCTTTAAAGCAGGTTTGTTTCTTCCGTTTCACTTTTAAATAACTCCAAGGGAGGAAAGAATTCTGTATTTATATATTTGTATTAAATTAACCGTGGAGCAAAGCATTATTTTACCTGCATGCCTTGTGTACACAGACATCTAATTCTTAGGTCTGAAAAAATTAACATCTTTTTTTTTTTTTTTCTTTTTTCCAGGACTTATAATATCTCTTCAGCTTCTACGTGGTGACATGGAGCAGATTCGAAGGGAAAACCCCATGATCTTTAACAGAGGCGTTTCTGTTACCAGGAAGTTGGGGTTTCCTGATGTTATAATGCCAGGTAAACATAACAGCTCTAATCTTAAAATATTGGTCTTTTTTTTTCCTCATACTCTTCTAGACAAGCGTCACTGGGATGGATGCTTTACTCGAAGAAGACTAATAATAGAAGAGTTGCCTTATTTGTCACTGAATGCCAATTCCAGGTTCAGGGAGGCACGCTAAAACGTTTTAATCAAGGAACTTTATAGTAATAGAAGGTGTTAAATTGACATGTATAGAAGGTGATCTGGAAGATAGCTTTGATATTCTCCCCGCCTCGAACGCCCAATTAGATATCCCTCATGCGTGCTAAGCGTAGAGATGCTTCTTTTAAAACGCATGAAGTTTCTTCTTCCAAATAATCCAAAGCCTGGAAAAACAGTTTCCACTTTGCCACCTTGATTTTTGGAGTTAGTGTGATCTTTTTGCATTGGTTGACAGCACATGAGGCTGCAAATCTGGTCTGATTTTCCAGCTGGCCTTACAGACCAGCTAGTCCGTGCAACAGCTGTCTTGGCTGAAGCATTGCTGTACTTCGTTTGCTCCTTACTTCTGGAGCAGCGGCTTGAGATGCTTCTTGTTTTGGCACAAGTTGAGGTAGCCCCAGCATAGCCAAGAGTTCACTTAGGGAGGAAGCCGGAACCTAGCCAGTCATGCAATCAATAGATATAAAACCTGGCATTATGCTGTCTTGATTTTTACAATGTAGTAAGAAATGGGCTTACTAATTATATTGCATGTATAGCATTTGAAATACTACCTTATTGCTATGCATTATAACCAAGACCACGGATGACTTTGCAGACATGGGAAATTTTATGAAAGCATAATGGGAAAAGTATCAGATTTTATTACTCGAAAGACTGCAGTGACACATCAGTATCCAAAGTAGTTGTAGTCTCATTATGGAGGCTCTTCAGAAAGCACCATAAAAATAGGGAGTAGGTGGTAAGAATTTCTAGAAACTAAAGTAAAAGGATTTAGAAGAGTATGTGTTTTATTTATTAACAGACCTGAAAATAACAGTAATACAGCAGCAGAGGATGGGGGTTATAAAGCCAATTATAAATTTTAGTTTTTAGTGCCCTTATAGCAGTTCCAGTCTTAACCCAAAGCAATCAAATAGAGAAGAGATTAAATATCTCATGTTGATATGCAGATGCAGCTGCTGCAAGGTGAACTGCTGTAATTGAGATCACAGCTGGATGTGTCAGCTAGAATAGCTAGATCACAGCTAGAAAAGTCAACATCAAAAATAACGTTTACTTACCTGTATTAAGTGCACTGATTCTCCTACAAGAATCGCTTTATTCTCCATTTTTATGTATAGAGCTGTCCCTCAAGTGCTTCGGACTGCTGAATTTTAACAAGCTTAAGGAATAGCTTTATGGTCTCAGCGTTCCCCCTAATTGTTTTTTCACTTTCTGGGCCCTAGCCTCTTTCTGCAAGCTGGCGTTGTGGGCCTGTCTTCCCTTTACTTCTGCTGTTTGGGGCAATGCTTTTGTCCAGGGGTTGAACAAGCAGGTTAGCAGTTTTCATGTGAAAAGCGCTCCTACGCTAAACTTTAAAAATTCTCTGTTCATTGCAGCTAACTCAAATTTCCAAACTTTCTTTCTTCAATTAAGAACTGTAGCGAAAACGCTGCCTCAGTGCAAAAGAAGTCCACCAAATCATAAGTATATTATTATGATCTCTGTGATATTCAGCCTAGAGACCTTGGACTCTTAAGTAAGTTAAAACCAGATTCCACAGCTTATGTTCGCAGCACTCCCATCGTAAAGCTGGCTATACACATACAGCAGTGATCTTCCCAGCTCTGGACAGCCCATCAGTTTTTCAAATGGTATTCTTCAAAAGATCGCAGTTGCTTGCTAATCACATTTTTGTGGGAACCACAATTCTTGTTGGAGAAAACACAGGGATCTTGAGATGATAATCTATTTGGAATTGGTCTCATATATATATATATATATGCTCAAAATACTGATTGATACAAACAAATGTGTGAAAGGACCACCATTCTGCTATTAAATGCTTACTGCCTCTCTGGAGGTGCTGGACACCCAGAACTTCTCGATTCAAAGGAGGCTACAGGAGGTCTGCATGTATAGAGTTTAGATGCAAAGCTTTAGGCATTTGTATTTGGAAAAAGGCTCACATTTGTGGAGAAAGGCAGTAAATGTCTTTAAGCACCAGGTAAGAAAAGGCAGCCGAGGAAGTGTGAATAGACTTTGACTGTAGTGATAAAAGAGGACATTGCCAGGGTAGAGATGAGGTGTGAAGAGAGAGGTAGCCATGAATGGTGCTCTAAACAAAAATTTTCATTATCCTGGGTATTCTCCAGGATAATGAAAACTCTGGAAAAAAATTAGGAGATTAAAATATAATGTAACTTCACTGATGCAGTGAACCGTGTTTATTCTAATTACCAATATTTTGGCAATGAAAATATGTTTGACATTATTCAAGCGACAGCAGATATTTGCCTGTTTTTAAAACAATAGATCAAACTGTGGTTTGAGTTTACCCAATGTCCAGGATAGAACATTAGGGTAGAGTGAGTTATCTTTCAGATGGATTAGCCAAGCTACATGAACAAGGAGTGTCCAACAACTTACATTGTGCTTATGTTGTTACAGCCAGAATCAGACATTCTTTTTTAGCTTTACTAGTATTGTCTAAAGTTAGAAATATTTCATTTTTGAAAAAACAAACCAACCAAACAAAAAAACAACCCTGTTATGTACGTTAGCAGTTCTCAACCATGTCTGCTGCTTTAATTGTCTTTGTCAAAGTGCCTTTTTCTTGCTTTGCTTCAGAACTGTTTCTTTCTCATTAAAGACAGGGTTTCCTCTTTTAGAAAAGAGCACAGAAAGTTCATGACTTGTATTTTGCAAGTGGATGCAGATTTTTTTCAAGGCAGTGTGATTTAAAAATGTTTTCTATGAATAAATTAGAAAAGGCTAGGTCACCTAGTATTGTTAAAATATGCAGTGA